TACGTACCTGGTACATGAAGAGAGGTCGCCGATGGTGTGGACAGTCATGTACATTGCTCTTCTGAGCCGAAGTGATCCTGTTGTGTGAACCAGCTATAGCGTAGGATAGTATGGTAGAGTAGGCTCGAATGGTAGAGTAGGCTGGGCGCTGTGCGCCAGACAGAGAGAGCGACTCTGGATACTGTGTTGGTGTGGCCTACGGGCTTGGACATTGGCTCAATACTTAATTGTATTGCTCTTTATGGATGGTTTTCTCAGTGCATTTGTACTCTCTACGTTACTACTACTTGCTCAACTGTGTGATTTCGCAACTTGGTTTTATGTATATCGCTCACACTCATATTCCTTGCAATTTGGTAGCAGAGTTGGTTGATGATCACCGCTTACTTGACACCGGTGACATTGTAACTTGGTGCGCTGAGGATGCTTCATGTGCAGTGAGAATACTTTGCCGCTGGTTGATTAGCGGGGCCTAGGTAGAGAGGCCAGCCGCTGGAAGGCTGTGGCGATAGCGTGGGAGCTGTGGCGACAGCGGATGTATACATGATGATGAGAGTATGCTGACGTGGCATTTTGGCTGAGGTGGCACTACATTGCGTTGTGGGTGGTACCGAGGCTATTGACCGGTCATTGAAATGCATGTCGGCCCAATTGGTGAGAAATCAGTGGTTGGGGGGAGCTATCTCCAGGTACGTTGTTCCCATTCCTTATCTACCCTCTCAATCTCTTCTTGTCGTGAGGAAGTGAATCCAACTTGAGTGTCCTCTCTTTGGTAAGGGGTCGCGTGCGCTCTATCTTGAGAGACGACCCGGTGGCACATCTGGCAGGAGAGGGCGGTGCCTCTGAACGGCCCTGGTCGAAGCACGTGGGTCACGGTCACCATGCCAACCCAATGGGATTAGTACACGCATGCGATGGTTGCTTTGTCCATTGAGGCTCTTTGCTGCGCTGATAGAAGGGGTGTGCGGACTGACCAGTCCTATTGAGACGCTCCCAGACCGTCTATAAACATTTCTGGTTGGGGTCTGATCTGTCCACTGGCTGTGATCGTCGTCCTGATTGCGACGTTAAATAATTCCTGAGGAGATGGGGGCTCTCCTTAAATCCCTCCTGATCAGCCAGATCGGTCAGACGTAAGGCTCGTTGCACGCGAGGGTAAACAAAGGGGAAGGCTGGTCATAAGCATACTTCTTGGGCACAGGGGTGGGCCGTGGTTGCACACCTTAGACACCGCAGCTTGATGATGCTCACAGGTACGTTGGATACAAGGGAAGGGGATTCCAATTGTGAACTCAACTGTACATCACTGACATATCCATTGTGCATACATCTGCTCACACTAGTCTAAGTTTTTATTTTGATTAGTTGGTTGATCGACTGCTGACACCTAACAGACAGACTAGCGTAGGACTGTTATCTACCAGAGTCAGTTCTCCTCAAATCTTATGTGCATACTAATCAGAATAGAGTTAGACAATGTGTACAGTTTGTGTAGATGCTGTTGATGCCGCTTGACTAGTAGACTAGGTAACTGGCCGGGTGTTTATTTAATTATTTATTTTTAGATCCGGTCAGACGCATGCTGCGGTAGGTTCTAGCGAGGACATTAGTGCAGACAGCGTCTGCCTAACCTATGAGTGGATCAGAGGGTGGTGAGGGTGGAGATGACGACAGGAGGTTAACAAGGATATCATCCCTTAGAATCCCTAGAGTGTTCCAGACCCTACAATCGAGAGAAGAGAGAAGATTAAGGGCTGAAGCTAGGGCCCGTAATCTTGAGGCTGAAAGAGAAGCGGCAGCCGCTAGAGCGGTAGCAATGAGTAATGCTACTTCCGCCGCAACTGCTGCGAACTCAACTGGTCAAGGGCTAGGCATGCCGACCAGTTCACAGTCAATCTCCAGTACGTCAGGGGTTGGCACTAGTCAAATGGCGGGCTCGCAGTTCAGCTCGCCGCCTCCACGCACCCGAGAGCAGATGGAGCTCCAGCAAGTAGAAAGGATCCGCTTAAGGTTAGAGGAGGAACTTAGACAAGCTACTAAGAGAGAGAAAGAGATCAAAGAGAGAAGTGTCAGACTAGAGAGGAGGGAGGCAGACATGGTTGCGGTAGAGGCATTAGATGACACTGCCCTAAACACTACAAGCAAGATCCTGAAGGCAAGCGTCCTCTCCATGCATGCGAACATAGACAGCAAGATGGACGCCCTGCAAGATACTCTAAACCAGATCCTACAAGCGCTACATAAGCCAGGGATCCGGCCAGCAGCTTTACCATCGCTGCCACTCCCGACGATGATAGGCCTTTATGCCGCTAAGTCAAGACCACCACCAAGTGTTTCATCAACAGTAGCACTATCTCAGACTGTTGCTTCTTCATCTTCTGGTCCAGCGACTGTTGCTACACCACAGTCGCCACCTGTCTCGCAAGCGGGACAACAATATCCTTGGTATCCCAAGACCCCACTGAACCCACCTGCAACCTTCTCAGGAGACAAGAAGGATGAGGCTCTTGACACATGGTTGAGAACAGTGCCAGTGTGGGTGAGGGCCAAAGGGACATTGGTAGAAGAGGAGGTGATTACTGTTGCATCCTACTTAGAGGGTTCAGCAGCCCGTTGGCTAAACGGATTGGTAGCTTCAAAGGGCTTCTGCAGGAATATGCATGATTGGGCGCAGACCCACACATTAGAAAGCTTTATGGACTTAGTGGAGACTCGTTGGCACAACCCGCAGCAGGCACATATTGCCACTGATGGGCTCTTGAAACTTGATACTAAAAAGTACAAGTCTGTGCGGGAACTCACCACAGCCGTAGAGCGCCTGATCGTCGTCCCGGGAGTGGAGTACAATCCACAGGTCTTGCTGACCATGTTCCTGAGATGTCTTCCCAGAGACATTAGGAATATATTAGCCAGCGAGGCTCACAAAGAGTATCACACCTTTGAGTCATTCAACAAGAAGGCCCTAGACTTAGAGGCTACGCTGGGTGGAGCTCAAACCCCTTCTACGGATGGGAGAAAGAAGAAGACTCCACAAGAGTGGGAAAAAAAGGGTAGTCGATTGATGATGGTTGATTCCGATGGAAATCAAACCGAGATCGATGATGTTTCCGATCTTGTGGAAGTTTCAGAGTTTGACGGCGGGGAGAGTGCTGAGGGTAGCAACCTCGCCGCCGTAGTTAAGACTAAGGCAGCTGGCTGCGGCAAGGGCGGTCAACAAAGGAGTCAGGGGCAGGCCGCTAACCCAAACAAAGTAGCTGCTTGGGTTAGAGCAGGTCTGGATCAAGAAGTGTGGCGGGACCGTTGGTCTCGAGGTGCTTCTATTAACTGCGGTGAGTATGGTCACACACAATTCAAATGCAAGAACCCGAAGGTTTCGCAGAAGATCCCTCCTAAAGGTGGGTTCTCTTCTTCTCAATCTGGGGCCTCTAAGAGCTCCAGCTCGGAAAACACTTAGGGCCAATAGAAGTTATAGCTGCTTCTACTCTCGTTGAAACGGGTGATGTACCCTCCCCGTTTCAAGAGATGGCCAAAGCTGTTGACTCCTTAGTCACCCCGCAGACGCATCCGGACCCAACTATACTTTGTACGTTGGATGTGTCTGAGGCCTTAGAGGACCTTCAAGGTGAGTGGTCGGCAAGGGACACTCGTGAGTTCTGGGTGGCACTGAGTAGAGGTCCTAGAGGGGAGCACTTCGTTGTTGAAGTTGATGTGGGCGGTCGCAAGTGCGGCACCTTCGTAGACATTGGCTCCACACGAAACTTCATAATTCGCGACTGCGTTGACAGACTGTGCCTAAAGGACTGGGTGCTGCGCCTTAGTAGACCGGTAGCATCTACTTTGGCCAACAAAGAGCGCATGATGGTGGAGGACTACATTAAAGATGTAGTCTGCACCTTCTCCTACCCATGAGGAGAGATGAACCACAAGATATCATTCCAGGTGAGGGACGAGTTGCCCTTTGACATGTTATTGGGCACGTACTACCTCGAGGTTGCCAAGCGCCTTTTTGACTGGGACAAGAAGGTGTTGAAGCATGAGTTGCCTAGTGGGAGAACAGTGAGACTGACCAAGTACAAAGCCAGTAGGTTAGTAGACTCCTATGGGTGCTTATGCGCATCTGCCTTTTATAATTATAATAAACAGAACCAAGAGGAAGGAATGTACTTAGTCTATGTCTCTGAGGCCGTTAAAACACTCCAGAGATAGAGACCATCGTCGCTCTCTGTCTCTGCAAAAGGGGAGGCCGTTAAAACACCCCAGAGATAGAGACCATCGTCGCTAAGTACCCAGATCTGTTCGAGGAACCTACAGGAGTCATAGACAGGGAGATTGTCCATGCCATAGAGATTACCCCAGGAAGTAAAACACCTAAGGGTAGAATCTATAGGATGGCTCCAACAGAGTTGGACGAACTTCGGCGGCAATTGAAAGAGCTCACAGAGAAGGGTTGGATCCGGCCTAGCATTTCCCCCTTTGGCTCACTATTGTTTGTTCCAAAGAAAGGGGGAACACTACGGATGTGCATCGATTATAGAGGTCTCAATGCCATCACTGTTAAGAACGCAGAGCCTCTACCACGCATCGACGACCTATTGGATAGGGTGCAGGGGTGTAAGTACTATACAAAGATAGACTTAARATCCGGCTACCATCAGATTGCCATAAGACCAGAGGACCAGCACAAAACCGCATTTAAGACCAGGTACGGTCTGTACGAGTTTGTGGTGATGCCTTTTGGCCTTTGCAATGCGCCGGGTACATTCCAGCACGCCATGAATAGGATCTTCCATGACTATTTAGACAAGTTTGTTGTCGTGTATCTCGACCACATACTTATCATTAGTAGATCTGTCGAGGAGCATGCTCAGGATGTAGACAAAGTACTTTCACTCCTTCGGCAGCATAAGTATAAGATAAACTATGAGAAATGCGAGTTTGGTCGCACTCGAATCTTGTACTTGGGTCATGAGGTATCCGCGGATGGGATTAGGCTCGAGGATGCGAAGGTGGCTAGCATTCGTGACTGGCCACAACCCCAGTCTGTGACTGAGGTCAGATCATTCTTGGGAATGTGTGGTTATTACCGCAATTTCGTAAAGAATTATAGCACGATTACATCTCCCTTGACTGATCTAACTCGACTCGATACACCATGGGACTGGACCGACGAGTGTGAGGCAGCTTTCAAGCGTTTCAAGCATGCTCTCACGCATCATGAGGTTCTCATGGTACCCGAACGGCAAAGGCCGTTTGTTGTAACCACTGCCGCAAGCCAATATAGGATTGGCGCAGTGCTGGATCAGTAGGAAGGGAAGAAGTTGAGACCGGTCGAGTACATGAGCAAAAAAACGCCTTCAAAGAAGTTGGCAAAGTCCACCTACGAGAGGGAACTCTACGCTCTTTACAAGGCACTTGTCCACTGGAGGCATTACCTGTTAGGAAGGTTCTTCTACTTGAGAACTGACCATCAGACACTCAAGTGGATCAAGACTCAACCAGTTCTCTCCGATGCACTCAAACGCTGGATTGAAGTCATAGATCAATATGATTTCAAACTAGACTATTTGAAGGGAGAGTACAACAAGGTTGTAGATGCGTTGTCTAGGAGGGCAGATTACCTAGGTTTGCAGAATTCTGAGTTTGGTTTGTCTGAGGACGTGACTCGATCGTTGGATGAAGCCTACAAGGAAGATCCCATCACGATGGTCATCATCAACAAACTACAGGCTAAAGATAAGGCCACCAATGATGAGTTTGTGATGGTGGATGGGTTGCTCTTGCTTGAGAAGGCACGGTTCAAGAGGTTAGTTGTTCCATCTAGAGAAACTTTGCGTAGTTTATTTTTAGGTGAGTGCCACGATGCAATGGGACATTTCGGCTATAAGAAGACGAGTGCTAATTTAGTACAACGATTTTGGTGGCCCAACATGCTTGACGATGTAAAGAAGTACGCGGAGACCTGTCAGGTCTGTCAGCGGGACAAGCCGCAGACTCGAGCTCCGCTTGGGTTACTCGAGCCTTTACCCATTCCTGCTGGCCCAGGGCAGAGTATCTCCATGGACTTCATGGATACTCTTGTGACCAGCAAGAATGGCAAGAGGCACATCTTCGTCATAGTGGATAGGTTCACTAAGTACGCTAGACTAATCGCCATGCCAGAGACTGCCAGGACTGAGCACGTCATCAAGTTGTTCATGGACAACTGGGTGCGTGATTTTGGATTGCCCAAGACTATCGTTAGTGATAGAGATGTCCGTTTCACTAGTGAGATGTGGAAGAAGGCCGCTGAACACATGGGCAGCCAGCTTCAGATGACTTCTGGGAATCATCCCGAAGCAAATGGGCAGGCTGAACAGATGAACCGAGTGGTGCAGCACCTGCTGAGGCATTACATCAAGCCCAGCAAGGATAACAGGGATGAGAAGTTACCTCTCATCGCCAGTCCGTACAACAGCGCGGTACACAGAACCATCGGTGTCAGTCCTAATCAACTACATCTGGGATGGAAACCTAGATCTGCTCTAGACTTCCTCCTGCCTGAAAATCGAACTGCTGCAACTCCTGGAACCATCGAATTTGGTGTCCAGTATGATAAACTGCTGCAGCAGACTGTCGAACACATTAAGAAATCTCAGGAGGTCATGATTGCTTCTGAGAACAAGCGTCGTCGACAGTCCACATTTCAGGTAGGGGAACGTGTCTGGGTCAAGGCTAGTGAACTGGGGCAGGAGTTTGGCATCTCTAGGAAACTAATGCCTCAGTATTTCCATCCCTGGGAAGTCCTGGATATCGTGGGGAATGATTTGGATGGTCCCTCGTACATCATTCGTATCCCTGGTCACTTACGGACTTACCCTGTTTTCCACGCTTCCAAACTTGCACCTTTCGCTGAGACAGCACAGTTCCCATCACGGAGATCTATGCTGCCCCCAACCATGGATGGCCACGTGGACGTCGACGACATCCTGGATCACAGAGACACGCCTGTTTCGAAGCCACCTGGCAGGGGAAGACCTCCCAAGCCTGCGAGAGAATACAGAGTACATTTCAGGCATCATACAGATCCGAAGGAAGATCAATGGATTTCAAGGGAGGAACTTGTCAAGACAGCTCCTCAGATCGTGGCGGATTATGAGAAAAGACTGAAGGGGAAGGCACCAGCATGAAGCATCTCAGCGGACTTTCGAAGCTAAGGGGGATGGAATGTGAGGAACAAGCCCTCAAGTGGCCCTATCAGACATCACATTTATGGGCCAAAGCCCCAGCAAGCCAAGTGGCCGCCCTAAGTGAAGGCGGGCCTGAATATTCGTCACAGGCCAAATTCGATATTTCCATATGTGGGTATTCAGGCTCTTGCAGCGCGTCAGTTGGTTGAGTGAACGCGCGAGCCTCACTAAGCTGTACCGTACAATTGGCCCAGGCCACGGAAGTTGTGCCTGGGCACCTACACACAAAGCAGGGCCGATACATTGAGAAGCAGGCCGTCGGCCTTTGGAAAAGCAGTACAGCTGACGCACCTACCTGGGGGCCCTGCGCAGATGCAGCTAACAGCCCAAGTT